GTTATACTCGGCAGATCTTCTACGAAGCCTTTAAGAAGGATGACAATTTACACAGCTAGTTTGAGACAGTTTTGCAAACAGCATCATTAGAGCTTGACATCATGACAACCCATAGTCTCTCAGCAGTTATCAGTGGAAAATGTCTTACAATTTCTGATCTCTTTGGAATGTGAAAAGTTCAAAGATCGTAGAATTTTGTTTTACTGGGTGCATAAAAATTTGGAACTGGCGAACAAGGTTCAGCAAAAAAGATCTATGCTTTTTATTCATAATTTTTCAGGCAAGATTTTTTTTTGCTCGACGATTTCAGAAAAAATGTAAGGAATTTTCTTCCTGGATTTAGAGGCCCGGCACTTTTATGTCATGCCTAACTTCGCCCTTCTGAATTACATGTTTTACTGCTTCTAAATACATTGCGTATCTCTTTTTCTTGTTTTTGACTGTTAAACTGCTTTCTGAGAGAGAAAATTGTGTGCTTATCTGAGGCAGTGCATTATTGACCATTTTTTCCTAAGATGATGCTTTCTTTTATCGTGCTACTTCCGAGGCTTCAATACGAATGAGGCTTGAGTTTATGAAGAGACAGGTAAATGAAGGGTGAGGACATTCAGTTAGCAGTTAGTAATTTTCAGTGGCTACAAGACAGGACGAAAAGGACAACTGCAGAGGGTACGGACATGTTCGTCTACAGCCGCAACAACTCGGGTGTCAATCTTCCGGCAAAAAGACGGTACATTTTAGTTCTAAATGTCGCAGCTCGCCCATTCTGATATTTGTGATAAAATTATGTATTTCTTCGTTCCTCGGTTCGTTTTCTCACTTTTTTTTTTACTTTTTAGCTGGAGGAATGCTGAGAACGCCACTGACCAGCACCACCACGAACAACAGCAACATACAAAAGCAACTGGCCACCACCACCACAGTAACAACATCCACTTTTTGAGTAAATTGCAAGATGCACCGTCGGGAAATGTGCCGAATGCGCCAGTGTGGAATGAAAAGATGCGGATTTTTCAGTCAGTTCTGAAATATCTTTTTCACGTTTCTTACGTGTTGCGCCTCGGCCCAGCCCGCACTGGGTTAATTTTAAATTTTGCAGTGCGCTCGGTGCATTTTGCAGGTAATCTGTGTGTCATTTTACTTTAAATGCGCTTAGCGGTCGTCCCTCCGACTGCGCCAAATACATCGCCGAGAATCTGCGCTGCTTCACACTCATTTCCATTCTGCAAACTACCTTCAAATTACCAAATATTTCAAGCAGTTTAGCCAAGCTAACGAATCCGATAATCCTGCCTCACGAGCACGCAACAACGCGTTGTCTGAGCGTCTTTCGCCATTACCAGTCATTGCTAATAAAAGGGTGAAAAAGCTGCGTTTTTTGCAACATATATTATGGCATCTATTCTTCCCTTCAATCTCCTCTGCGCTCTTCCTTTTCCATTTGGATCTTCATTTCCGGCAGGAAGGAGAAGAGAGGAGGAAAAATTACAAAACGGGTGGATGCTGGACCAAACTTGCGCAGAAATGCCGGAAACGACGGCCGATCTGCATCGGAATGCTGACGAAGGCCGGGCTTACATGAAAGTATCCGCAGAGAGTTCCAGGTCTAGTCGCGCGATATTTCTCTCCTTTTTCGCTCTTTGTCTTTGCAAAGCGACTTCTGTTTTACAACAAAAATAGTCAATCCAATTTCAAAAATCACAGGCCAGGTTCATTCTAATAACATACAAATTGATCCCAATGACCCACAAACTGGCTTTGATGATCATAAGTTATTTTCAGTGACTCAACAAGCAGTGTCCTCAACCAGCTTCTCAGCGCACAGCAGACAAGAGCAGAAGCTATAGTTCACCAAATGTACAGCTTAAATGCAGGCCTATTGCACGTCACGAAATTAGATTTTGGAGCAGTGAGTCAACAAGGGGTTGCCAAACAATAAGTGACGCATGTTATGCAGTATCATCTCAAAGCAAATGTCAGTCCAAGGACATAATCCAGAAAGATCCACAACCTCCTAGTAGCCTGCGAGCATTTGCAAAAGGCGTGCGCAGGTGCACATAAATGCGCATTGTTCGTGCGTGCATATGTCCACACAAATACTGGTCCTAATAGCATTTCTGAAGCGCCAGATCGTTATCAAACACTACCGGCTTAAAACCATTGTACTGTAAAAGAGTAGAACATGAGCACTGCCTCTTCTGCATGAGAAGGCATCAATGGAAGTGAAGTAAGCTCGCGAGTAACCACACTCAAGCAGCAATTTCAGGTCTCCCATCTTTTAATGAAATCCAGGGAAATGTAGGAATTTCGGATCTACTTAACTGCCCAGAACTCATTAAAAATGAGTTGTGCCGTGCGCATCCAGTCTCCGTAGCAGACTGCCTTCTGCCCATCTCGTCCAAAATAACAGCTCCTCACTTTCCACACTCCACTCGCTTAAAGATGAAATTTTTTGCATTGTTAAACAGAAAGTTGCTTGCTTAACAAAAGTTGTCACTGATGAACACCATTAAATGTTGTGTGACTAGTTAAATTCTTTGCTATTTTAGATAACTTCTGGCGTTGTTCCACTTTCCGCATACGATCTTGGTCCTTCCTCACCCATCAACCTTCAGCTCATTTTCCTGCTGAGTACACCACCAACGTCCGGTGTTCAAAAATACAAAGCTCTTTGTCGCTGCAAATACTCCATGCTTGGCGATCAGACCTATCGCATTTATGAATTTGCCCTGATCTGCGGCAAAGCCAAGCACGACTAGCAGCTACCTTCCGGAGAGAAACTGGGGATTGTGAATTAGGATCAAAAGCACATGAGGTAAAAATTCACTCAATTTAAATCTAATAAAGGCAACGAAAGAAGTGACTAATAAGACGTGTGAACGAGATGCCATGGCACTATTGCACAGTGCGCTAAAAGATTGCAACAATAGATCCAGCAAAGTGGCAAGCAAATTGTGGCTGAAAAATGGTGCAGAATTAGAGATGCTGTCAAACTGATATGCTACACTTTTCCCGGATCGAGGACACGGATTCGTGCGCGTAGATGCATTAACAAACACAGATATTATCTGGCACTATAGGCCGAGATCGAGTGTCACTATGCAATTTTGATACTCAAAATAACATCTTTGAAAAGCTCGTTTACTGAAACCTCGAATGGCTCTTGGAAATTGCTGTGATTGTCTCTCGCATCCTATATTTTCACACCACCAACAGCAAACTGCCATTGGAAACGATGATATGGGAGGAAGGGGCTAGATGTACGCATCAATGGCACCTACTACTGCTCCGTCTCCGAAGCACAGCGTACGGCTTCTGCCACATTTTGTTACGCATTTAATTGGAAGCAGGTCCATTCCACTTCACTTCATATGCTGGACTACCCATTTCTTCCCCGCGTCTATGCTAACAAATTATTGTGCAAATAGGTGACCTGGCACAAATGCAGCTTCAGTAGCATCTTTTTTTTTTCTTGGAAGACGTAAGACGATGACCTTCCGCTCTTATCTTTTCCTCTTCTTTGGATAATTTTTTGGCGTTTGAAGCTCACATCTGAGCGCCACCGGCAGAAAAGCTCTTCATTTCGGCAAAAAACTGTCGAGGAAGTCAAGAAACCGCTGCAGCTACAGTGGTACCGCTTTCTGAACGAACGAGGGTACTTCTTATCATCATCAATCTACGGCTGCACAGTTATCCGTGGCTAAACTACAAAATAAACTGCCTTTCTTTGTCACAAAACAAAGAAACGCCCAGTCAGACGAGTACCACGAAAATCGCTGTGCCTGCGACAGGAAATACAACAGTAAAAGAACACGCTGTTGGAGAGTTAATAGATGCTTCCGCAAGGAAGAAGCCACTCGGACGCCAAGCAGTGTCTGCTGCTTTAAAAACGCAGTAGCGGCAGCAGATAGGAATTGAGAATGTGCAGAACGGCACAGTCTTGTACAGAGATGTGGCTCATTTATGCCAAAGAACCGCAACCACTGTCCAAGCAATTTAGTTGATTTCAGCGTCTTTTCAGCTAAATCACCAGCTCATTTAGCTGAACTTCGCGCAATCTTGTGATTCTCTGATCAAGCACCCGCTGCTTTAATCCCAGGCCTTTTTTCTCCCCACCCAGATGATTCCAGTGCTCTGATTACGGCACAAGAAGGCGGCCTCCACGAATCAACACATCATTTCTGCCATACAGCAACTCTAGCAGAGTCGCCAGAGCGATGTGTTAAACTCATCAATGTAGTACTTGTGGTTGACATTCTTCACTACGGTATTTTCGATTCGCTGAAGCTTTGAACAGCTCATTCGATTCACATCGGTCGACGTCCATCCGTGGGTACAATCTCAGAAACACTCGAAAAGCTGCTGCCGTTTCAGACAAGCTCACTCCCTCATTCCGACAGTTTGTCAATTTTTTCTTATTGCCGATTCGCGGCTGTCACTAACTGGAAAGAAATCTGAATGCCCCCGTATTCTGTTTTTTCATAACAAACTTCCCAAAACATCTTTGAAACGAAAAGTAGTCGGGATAAGCTCTTTATGGGTTAGCAATAGATCCTGAATAGGATAGGCATGATAGGCTTGGAAATGGGAGAAGCTCGATGACATAAACCGACACAGAGAGACATAGTTCATGTTGTCACCATCTATGAATAGCATTTCCAGAATGCACCAATAAATCACCCATGTCGCCAGTTCCTAGATATCACACGTCTTCGTTCTGAAGAATGCCCAACCGAACCCATCCCAAAAAATGCTTTCTATCATATATATATGCCTTTTCTTCCATATTCTGGGATGCGCACTGAAGCCTCTGCTCAGTGATTTATCTCAAACATAATTAAACTATCCTATCTTTCGTTAATCCAATATGTACTGCAGAAATGCACAGACTTTCATCACGGGACTCTCAGATTAGTCGCAGTGCAACCATTCTGTGCTTTCTGCAAGAGCAAGTTTTGTGAAAGTTGTCCTACAAAATATTTCTGAAAATTAGTACTTAAAAAAAGTTGGGATGAGTGCCAAGAGGGACACCCATTTGAACACGCGGGGTACGCAACACACAGAAAGATGGAGCAAACAGCGTTCACGGTGAAGACTAGAGGCATCTGGGACACCTGGATAACAACTAATGTGAACTGCCAGCAAAAGTTCTCTGTACGGGTAGTACGTGCACACAAGTACTGCCTTGTGAAAGTACTGCCTCAAAGAATGCGATTGGATCTTTTGAAAAAAAGAACTAAGAGAGTCAAATCGTTCCGTAGATAATATTCTACAAAACTGAAACTTCCACATTTCGGGGTGTTTTTTTTTTTTTCTCTCTCACAAAACCGCTGCCCTCGTAGTGGCGGCAGCAGCTAGAAGAAGATGCTTTTTGCAGCAGCTCCGATGCACGGTGATATGATAAGTGGGAAGGGAGGACGACGACAGAAGTGACAAACAGGGCTGTACAAACACTGACGAACGGAAAATGTCACAAGGCAGGAGCCATTATAATTTGCGACTGATTGGAGGCAGAAATGGGCTACGGTAATTCATGTGTAATGTATACGGGTGACGTATTCCAGCACTGTCCCGGAAAATGCCAGAAAAATTCCTGGACAGAATGGCCGGCTACATGCACAATTATTTGCATTAAAACATTTGTCTCATCGTTCCATCGCGGGCACACAGCACACAGTGAGTAATTGGTGTTCCAGAACTGATATAATTCCTGACTTTTGTGCGATCGGTTTTGGCACTTCCCAGCACCGCCGATGCGCCATAAAACGCGCTCGGCCAGCATTAGCAACAGCACACATCAACACGGCTCCGTCCACCTTCAAGCGATGTAAAGCAAGCACCTCCCTTTACCGCAGTAGTCCAACTTTCAACGTTACGCTTGTGAAACAAGCTTAAGCTAGTTTATAAGGCAGTCGCGTCCCGGCATGCTGTAGACTGTTTTCTCATACAGTCAAAAACATGCCACATGTAATAAGGCCTGGTTGCTCATTTTGCTCGAAAGTTGTTCAATTTTTAACACAGATAAAAATCCACTTCCTAGAGAATGCTCTTTCGCTTCCAATGCTACTTCAGTGGCACAACGAACGGGAAAGGAAATAAGGCAAGCCGAACAACCGTGTCGAGTTCCCTCTGGGTCTAATAGGAGCAATAAAATCGCCTGTTCGGAAAGAAAATGAAGTCAAAAACGGACTGGACCGCGCAAAATTCGGCTGAAGTGGCATCCAAAGTGGCAAAAAAAAGAATGGCCAGGAACAAGAGTTCACCTGGAAACTACATAATTCCACTCGAAAGCAAAAAATGAGTCCAGAAGGCTGAAGCTAAAAAGTGCCACATCAAATAATTGGGTCAAACGAACAGGAAAAAAGCGAGCAGAGAGCGTGCACATGTTAAGCCGTAATGCAATTCCGCGAGAGACACTAAAACTAAGGGCACGCTACTTCGGTTTCCTCCCTTTCCACTCTCTTTTTTGGGATCTGGATCGGCGGGCAGTAGGAATTCAGTCAAAATTTCCAGAGTACCGGCTCTGCTTCTGAAAACGAGAAAATTACAGGTAGGATTGGTGGGTTAGTGGAGCAGAGGCTGCAGCAGAGTACGGTGCTGTTTTCCCGCCTGTGTCCTGGATGGTGCATTGGTTAAACCAGAATCTCTTCTACTTCCTCGTCATCTACTCCAACTCAGTTTACGCTTCGGGTCTTAACAATGAGTTGGAAAAAAAAAGAAATCGGGAAGGGTCGCTTGCTTGTGTTTTGTTGGTGCTGCCATCTTTGTCAAAATGAGTCAAACGAGGGAGGCATTTTTCTTTTTTTTTTGAATCGTACGTTTTCATGCCTTTTGTAACGCAAGTCGCATGCTCCTCACGGACTTGACAGAACAGCGTCAGCATGCCATGTTTTTGTTGACTACAAAACTGGAAAAGCAACGGCCGAAATCAACACGGTTCTCAGGAAAAACTAGCTGCTGCCCTCTCCCTCTCCACCTCTCTCGTTTTCCGAGCTAAGGTAGCGCGTTCACATAAGATCACAGGATCCAAATAATTCTCTCGGCTCTCGGTGAAGCTTTCAGTGATGAGTGTACCATCCTCTCGAGGAAAATTGAGTGCCAGTCTTTGCTGCAGGTAACTTTCTGGATTTGTTCCTGCTAAAAGTTTTGACAAAAAGCAAGGAAGGCTTAATCGTCACACTGTCCGAAAAATTCAGAAGCAGTTTGAGCGAAAGCAAAAGTGCTGTTAGGCGCAGGAGAACGAGTGCGACAAAAGAATTTATGAAAAGTGGCTCGCGGCTGTGAAGTGCTGCCAGGGGACATTACTAAAGCACAAACTGCTAATAACAGCGATACGTCCCGGAGGGGCATTCCGCTTGTTGGGTCACTTTTCGCCCCATACTCGAAATCTGTCATCACCGAGCAAGCTAAAGCAGCAGAATCAGTGGGCCCCAGAGAGTGTGTCAAAAGCGCCTGACAAAGCGACAGCTTTTATGGATGACTAATCGAGAGCGGAATCCGTCCGCACCGACGCTTCACCCCTATGGAGATGCTACCAAGCCAGCACACTCCTCATATTCCATAAACAGGCAAATTTTTGATACAATTCGGAGCACATTATGAAGGGACCTGCGAGAAGCACTAATGATACCAGCCTCCGCTTTTACGTAACTGATTTGAAAATGGATGCCATAAAAAACTCCATTGGTCGGCAACCCGGCGATGTAAGGTGAGTCGGTATAGTGTTGTTGCTAACGAGCCCGAGTCCAAATACATACTCAAAATCTAAGAAAGTGTCGAGCACTGCGTGCTGTAACAACAGCATCTCTCGCCGAAATATTGTGTCGCTAAGATTGGAAAGTATGTAAGCGGCTATTATGAGCGCGATTATTCTAAATTCACCGTTAGCTGCAAAAAGTTCACCACACGGTGCACGAGTTCTTTAGGATGCATGTTGCAATGCAGAAAAAAAGCTCCGATACAACACCGCATGTTTCTCCGCACTAAAATGCAAAAGACACATCTGAGAAGTAATAGCAGTTTCACTGGCGGACCAGTGACCCTTGTTCTCAATTTCTTTGCGCTTAGAGACTGAAAACAAAGTTCGATCACCCGCCAGCGACGTAAACTCCATAAATATATCAATCGAATATTCCTGCAAATTCGACCTCAACGATTGCTCTGCGCAAATTTAGAGGAAGCACACTGAGAGTCAGCCCGATCATGAGTTGCTCCAAATACCAGGGAGGATCAGCTTGCCTGTGCATGCAGAACTACGTTCGGCCAAAATGAAAAACACTTTCACCCATTTGGTACCAAAATTCCTTCCTCTGACTTGCTCAGTTTTGAATTTATGACACTGCCGTCTGTTTCGATACAAAAGCACAGGACAAAGCAAACCCGAATCAAGAAAGCACATTTCATGCACTGCTTTTGCCTAACATCCCTCGCATAAAATAGTATTTCGCTTCCTTATAGTGTTCGTTTTTAACTCGTACCGTTGTAAATCCAGGCAACAAAAATACCCGAGCGCAGGGTTCCAGAGGGAATGGGAAAAATGTCAAGCATCCTGGAAACAAGCGTGTGTAAAGAGTCCTGAGTGAAATTCATGTGAAAGAGATGAGTGAATGCACCAAGACTTGGCTGTATTTCATCACGAGGGTCTTCTGCTTTAACCGACCTACGGAAGGTGCCTATATTTGGGTTCAAAGCTTACTGTGTTCTAAAAAGACAGTAGTGCCGTCTGCCTGCATTCCTGCACACTCAGCCAAAAGTGGACAGTGTCGAATAGATAATCTCTCATAACACGAAGACAAAGCTGACTAGTTCCAGGTCCCTGTAATCCCAAAACACTGGAAAGAAAAAACCATGTTATGGGCCTGCAACATTCCTACAAATCTCGAAAAATCTGACAAATATCAATGAAAGCCGCCAAGTACTGATAACCATGAAGAGTAGTGACATCAATCAAGAGAGGATTTTGCATTTCTTGCAAAAACCTCAAGCAGTGAGAAAAATTACACAGCGAATGAGCAAGCGAGTATGCCGTGATTTTAACATTAACTTAACAGTACTCACCTCCTGGATAAATCCCCGCTCAAAATCATCCACCTTCCAACCAGTTCGTCGAATAATTGCTTCGGCTCGTTTCCTCGACAGGGTTGACAGTGCCCGATGCAGCAAAATTTTGATACGTATTGGTATTGCCTGCAATCAATTATGCAAATATGCTGTTCCATAAGCAGAACCTCAAAACGAAATCAAGGAACCTCTAATGCGTGAGTTCCGGCTTTATTCAGGCAGATTAGTAGGCTATGTATGAAATCTCCTGACAAGTGCAACCACACCAAAATTGCAACCAGCTGCAGGGCAATTAAAAACACCACGCAACCAGCCCGGAAGAGTGTTTTTTTGTCTGGTATGTGACTGTTATAGTTTCACAAAAAATCTCACGCGGCACCTGGAAATTTGTTATCAAAATACAGCACCTACAGTTTTTTACCAGAATTTGGAAGACAATGAATTTCAGTACGCCCTTTCATTCTGGATGCTTTACAAGTTAAACTCGGCCAATCAACAGTCCCGAATTTGGGACCCTGAAGTACAATTATTATCTTAAAA